ATCAGAGCCATCAGTGGTGGTTGTAGGAAAACCTGAGGAAAACATGCCATGCAGCAAAGTCTTGTTTAGTGACCATAATGGGGATCAGCCACCTGGTCATCAAGTAAAGCAGCCAGCAAGTGAAACCAACTTAACTTATGATCTGATCTCAGCTTTCCTTTGCTTTACAGACCCGCAAAGGTCATAAATGCAAACACTGGTCACAAATTACTTTTTCATCTTCAGCGCTGTTGCGCGCTGTTGCTGAATGAGGAAGTCCCTAAACGAGAACCTCCTCTACGTGCTATCTGGAGCTCTGAAAGGAAAGTGGGATGTAATTCTAACTCTACATGGTAGCCATACGGAAATGTTTGAGCTGTTCTCGAGAGCTAGGAATTAACTTTGGTACATCTACTGCAATATATTTAAAGATATTGCAGTAAATCCTCAAATCTGTCTTGGGTTCCGCCCTTGCCTTTATTTTACTAGGATTCCACAAACTGGATCCAAGTTGATTCCACTGCTTGGAACCATTCAGAAAAAAAAAAAATCTTCAGCCAAGTTCAGTCTCCAGCTGCAAGTCTTTGGGCTTAGATTTATTTGGCCCAATAAAATGCATATGCATGAAAGTACCCAAACTGATATAAATCAATTCAGAGACTTAAGCACGCCTACACCGCTCCTCCTGTAGATTGTACCACCTTATTCCCTTGCAATCAGAGATTCGAGTATCTCTGGGTCTGCCGCTAGAGATTAAGAGTTATTTTTTTTTCATTTCTTTTCTCATAATTTGGTTGAAAAATTCAATCACAGTTAAGCATATTAAAATTCCATTGATTTCACTGGGGCAATTAAGCTGGGTTTTTAATAAGAATGGGTTTTCCAAGTACTCCTTAATAAAATACACTCAAATACAATCTTGCATCCAGTTAGCTGAAAATAATCTCCATTAAACTGAGCAAATCTATTTTGAAAAAAGCATCTGCAGGGTGATGTCATAAAAATGATGTTTTTGTCTCTCAGCAATCCAGGGCGAGGGATAAAAACAATGCCAGTTACATAATCTAGCAATCTTGATATTCCATAGATCCTAACCCCACCATCACATTCCACTTCTAATACATTTTTGTTGCATTTCCTACTCGCTGACACATACTTTTTTGGGGGAACAATTGCACCTCACTTCTTTATGCTGTGTTCATACAACCTGGGCAAGTTGACTGTGGAATTCCCCTGTTTTCTATGTGTCCATGATCCCACCATAGACTAGCCAGAACGACTGAGGTTAAAATTAGCCAAGCTTAGGAGGCTTAGCCAGGTTTTACGTGGCCTGGTTAAATTTAAATTTAAAGTGAGAACAATTAATCAGTGGAATGGCTTCCCTCTGGAAGCTGTGAGTGCTCCATCACTGAAGAGACTGGACAGCCATTTGTTCAGAATGGCATAGGGTCTCCTGCATGAGCAAGGGGTTGGACTAGAAGACCTCCAAGGTCCCATCCAACCTCATGAGTCTATGACCTATGTACTAAATCTATTGGGTGAACCTGTTCATTCCTTGTGAAACTTCAGCAGAGATATAGCTAGTTAGCTCTCCATACAAACATACCCACACACAATAGAGTTTGATCTATCTATCTATCTATCTATCTATCTATCTATCTATCTATCTATCTATCTATCCATCATCCATCCATCCATCTCATATCTCTATCTCTGTCTATCTCAATCTCAAACTCTCTTTCTCTCTCTTACATATAAATATACAAACACATAACAGGGTTCTATCTATCTATCTATCTATCTATCTATCTATCTATCTATCTATCTATCTATCTATCTATCTATCTATCTATCTATCCATCATCCATCCATCTCATCTCATCTCATCTCTCTATCTCTGTCTATCTCAATCTCAAACTCTCTTTTTCTCTCTCTCACATACTGTATAAATATACAAACACATAATAGGGTTCTATCTATCTATCTATCTATCTATCTATCTATCTATCTATCTATCTATCTATCTATCTATCTATCTACCTACCTACCTACCTACCTACCTACCTACCTACCCACCCATCTCTATCTATGTCATCTCACTTTATCACATTTAAACCTACACAAGATAATAGTTTGATTTGTGTATTCTCTCTCTCTCTTTCTCTCTCACATGTAAACATACACATACATACACACATAATAGACAGGGTTTGATCTTTCTCTCTCTCTGTGTATCTCTCTCTCTCTCTCTCTCTGTATCTATCTATCTATCTATCTATCTATCTATCTATCTATCTATCTATCTATCTATCTATCTATCTATCTCTCTTTCTCACATACAAACATACACACAATAGATAGGGTTTGATTTTTGTGTTTTACAGTAGACAAATTTTCTACATAAACATTTCTTTCTTGCCTGCAAGGAGCAGCTTATCTGGTTGTATCAAGTTTGTCAATCATCTGCTGATATTGAATGCACGGCTGAGTTTTTCTTGCGAAAGAGATTTATTTCTCGTCTGCAAGGTCTGATAGTGTGTGATATCAATTGTTCCCGGAATGAGATGGCATTTTAGATTGCCTATTTCTTTGCTTTACTGTAATGAACTTTGGTTTAATTTGTTGCATCCATATACTGAAGCACCGTTGGTTCCACTGCGGCTTTATTTATGACTGAATGTAAAACAATAGTAAAAACAATATCACTGATGACAATGTGACTTTTTAATAGAAAATCTGAAATGTGAAACGCATCCATAATGTGATATCTTTAAGAAAAAGCACACTCCAAATGAGCACAGATAGCACTAGGCAACGTGTTGGGTGCCAAATGTTTGCCAAAGGAAGTGGTTCTTTATATAACTCAGAATAATATTCCGGCAATGTGCTAAATTCATCATATGAAAAATCTCCCAAGCGTTGAAAATGCCAAAGTGCTTCTGGATACAGCCAAAGAAACTTAGAGCGGGTCAGACTGCAGCTCAGTGGGGACATTTCCCTGATTCAAAGCAAATTTGAGTCAACCGTGCTTCAAAAAAGATTGGAAATCAATTGGAGATCACTTTCAAATCTCTCCAGTCAGCACTTCCTCCAGCTGCTAATTTGACATTTGAAACTCCATATCTTAACAAAAATAGAGCAAATCCTGCTGATTTCACTCGTGTTCGAGAAAGGAAGGAAGGAAGGAAGGAAGGAAGGAAAGAAAGAAAGAAAGAAAGAAAGAAAGAAAGAAAGAAAGAAAGAAAGAAAGAAAGAAAGAAAGAAAGAAAGAAAGAAAGAAAGAGAAATAAATTTGCATTTTTTCTTTTTGTAAGTTTAACATTGATCTCTGTGCAAAATCCTTAGCTCCCTTGCTCCTCAAAGTTGGCAGTTCACTCTGAAAAGATCCAAACAGTTAATCGTTTTTCCTTAAATCACACACATACTTATACACACATATAGTAAAAAAAAGTGAGTTGTTTTCCCTTGCCCAGTTAAGGCGGAAACCTAGAGAGAAGGGGATTTCCTGAAGTGAGATTACATCAAAGTTGGTGGCCCCTGAATGGGGGCTCAATTTTGCAAAATGGGGTCCAAACTAAACCATCACACATCCTATCACAGCAGGAGGAGCTTTTTAAGTCTCCAAGATGCTGCTGCTAGATCGCTTCTTTAAACAACTCCATATGTACATGCATAGATATAAACATTTCCATCTCATTATATCCAGGGGTGGGATTCAAACAGGTGAACAACCGGTTCTCTGTATGGATGCTGTTTCCAGAAGTCCATTCTGGGCCTGGGCAATAAAAAATTTGCTACCAGTTCTGCCGAAGTGGTGCGAACCGGCTGAATCCCACCACTGAGTATATCCCAGATCATGTCAACCTTTTCTATTATATTTGTTTTCCTGTTCCAATAAACAGCTTTATGAGAATTGCTCCCAGGCGTGTTTACGGGAGCGGGGGGGGGAGTGGAGAGGTGTAAAACAAATCAAAATGACAGCCATAATCATGTGATCAAAGCCCCACACCCTTTTAACATGTGTTGCATGCAAAAAAAGGGGGGCAGAGCTTGATGTGCGTGGCTATTGTGACATTTTTACTCCACCCGCCCAACGTAGACGGTAAAAGGAATGTCTTTGAGGCACACAAGAAAGAGCTATTACCAAGACTATGGTCAGATGAAGGAAATTTGAGTCTGGGCCAAAACTGTAACCTGAGGAAGCATGTCAGGGCTGACCCTCCCAAGTTCTCATAAAGTCGGAAAACACATCCAGACTTGCAAGATTCTGTTACTATAACCTTATAAGAAAGGATACATCACACTGGATTCCTACATGGTATTAGATTCTTAATCTGATCTACTTTGAAGGGCACACACGCAGAGGGAGAAGGCAAGTGCTCTTGACTGCCATAGCCTGCTAATTGTTGTCTTCAGTTATTGTTTGCTTGTATAGCTTTTGATCGCCCCATAAATTGATAAATCAATTGTGTCTACTGTCTGGAAGTTGAGTCATGGACTTATTTTCTTGTTGGTTTGAGATGTTTCGCTGCTTAGCCAAGCAGCTTCTTCAGTCTGAAGCTTCTTCAGTCTGAGACCAAGTAGCTTAGGAGAATCTGAGCAGGCAAAGAGTTGTTGGAATGTGCCAACTCCTAAAATTCTTAAGGGTGTTCCTGCACCAACCTCGGGGTTTCTTCCCAAATGTGTGTGCCAATATGTCGATGAAGATTCTCACTCATCTAGAATTGTCTGGAAGTTGAGTCAGGGCGATTAGACTTATTTGTCCAGTTAATTGACTCTGCCGTTCTGCCCTAAGAAAATTCCTTGGATTGATGCCTTGAACATCTGCTAAAGGCTGCTAACCAACGCTGCTTACCTGGGTGGGGAAAGATCTGGGATAATTACATGCAAAAAAGGGGGGGATTATTGTTCTATTCGTGACTTATCCTGATTCACCTGTTTTGGCACATCGATCTTCTCGATGCTTTGAGATAATCGAATCTCTGCTTCCCTAGATGCAAGATCACAGATCGTGACGCACAATGTGGAGTGCCCTGTTTTCCGCTTTGTACCTGCTGGGTGTTTTCTCTGAGAGCTGCAGAGGACGGAAGCTGCCGGCGTTTCAAGACGGTAAGGGAGCTACAGTGCCAGTGGGGAGGTATCACGGATCTAGAGAGCCGATGTCTTAACAGGCCAAAGATTGATTGCTCCGAGGGTGCTGCCTAGAGCAGATCAATGCAACTGTTAATGAGTGGATTCAATGCCGGGCCAGTTCAGATCCCTGATAAAGGCGGCTTTCTTGGCACTTGGTGGGTATTCTTAAATGCAGCTTCAATTCAGATGGGTGTCTCTCTTCTACAGCTGCAGGCCATTGTACCAGTTTATACATGAACATGCACACGTACACTTACAGGCAGACACAAAATTGAAGCCAGGACCTTCCTTGGAAAAATGTTTGGCATCAAATGAATGAAAGCTGAGCGCTGCTCTTTATTAAGATGCCAGCTGCAGAAATGGAACGGTGGGCAGTTGAAAAATTCACCCAAGCTCCCTCTATTGTCAAATTCCAAAGTTGACTGGATGTGAATTCAGGAGGGAGAGAACTACAGGCAGTCCTTGAATTATGACCAGCCGTTTAATGACCGTTCAGAGTTAGAACAGCCTCCTTGACAAAGGTGCTTTAAAGCTCATAAAGCACTTCCGACTGTCGTAAAATGTGTTGCCCCCTCCCTGTGGTCACATGACTGCGTTTTGGGTGCTTGACAGCCAGCTCACATTTATTATTGGTTGCACCACCCTACAGTCACATGACCACGATTTGCAACCTTTTTTTTTCTGCTGGTTTTCTATGTTTTTTGACGGATTCTGAAAAAAAAAATACCCATTCAGGTGAATGGATTCAGACTTACAACTGCATGATTCGCTTCATGACTGCTGTAAAAATGGTCATAAAATCTGGTCCAGTCATGTAAGTGCCTTACTTATGACCAACATGGGTTACACCTGCAATTGGGGTCCCAATTGTGGTCATAGGTTGAGGACTACCTGTATGGGCCATATTTCCTCTTGGCAATTCTGGGTCCAAATTCTGGGACCTTCTGCCCACTCTCATTAGCACTGGCCCTCTTTCTCCTCTCCCTTTGTTACAACATCAGCGTCTTTGTTGCTTCTGTTTTTTGGGTTTGTGGCCCTGGGCCCCCGTCCTTCTGGCATTAAAGATATCTATGAAGGATTTTAGAGTTGACCTTGGGAATGGATGAGATAGACGGGTTTTCAAGATCCTGTTTGGATAATCCTAAAACAATACAGTAGCATTCATGGGATCCTTGCAGTGTCTGTTTCTTAACTTCTCCTACTTTGAGAGGCTAACATGTTGCTTGTTGGCATGATCAAGAATTATTGCGATGATGTGCTTTTAATTAGGACCAGCAATAGACTCCTTTTAGTAAATACGATGAAGCGGAGAGATCACTTAGCAGTGACTTATTTAATTGTCCTGGTGTAGTAGAACATAGTCCAGAGTTGCAGGAGGGAGGGTGTGAGAGAAGAGTAGGCAGAGCTGGGAGGTGGGGTTAAGTGTATCATCAGTTTAGAGTCCTTGCATTGCCACAGGAGTCTCAACTTCTCCTGAACTCCATTGATCCTTATCAGGCACCAATTTAGTGTTGAACTTTAATTGTCCAGATCCTTGTGCATGGTCTTGAATAAATCGTCTATGCTACAACCTTATGAATAATCCTGATTCTTTGTGCCTGACAGAAGGGCTTCTTCCCAGGGATCAAAGAGACAAAGAAGCTTGGAAACTTTAATATGCAGGAAAAGGGCGAAGGCGAACCCTTCCCCGCAGCAGTTTGCATGTTTTATGTAGTAGTTATACAGATAAGTACTTTAGTCTGGCAAGATTGTGTCTATAGGCAAGCAGCAATAAAAAAAACTACTTAGAGGTAACTCATGCCATTCTTGGTTCCTTGAGCCTCACACCTGCCCTTTAATGGTCTTAGGGGGAACACAAAGGGGGTCCACAAGTTACCATAGCAGAAACCTAATTAAAGAAAAGGAGCATATAAGATCATGTACTTTGAGGACAGTTGCAGCAGGATTGACCAATTTTGTGGGTTACAAACCTGAATGGGAGACCACCAGAAATCCAGACTACAGAGTTGACTGAAAGTAGAAAAATATTCTAGGTTATGGTAGGGAAAAACCTTTCAAATTGTTGCCCAAATTCCCTACTGTAATTGTCTAGCAATCAAGCTCAGCTTGATGGAGATTCACATTTTCTTAAAATCAAAGATTTAAAAAAAGGTTTTCTTTCCTGCTATCTCTAAAGAATGGGAAATGAGTTTCAGCAGCTCCCAATCCTGCTTTGATTTTTTTTCTTTCTGAAGCATGTAGAATTGATGGACTAGGCCTAATTTAGGATAGCGCTCATCGTGGCTTAATGACTGGATGCAATTATATAAAGCTCTTAGCATCATCGTGTTTTATAGAGTGCAAGCTGGTCATCGGCTATAAAATAAAAATACTGTTAAAAACTACAAACGAGAACAAGAAGTTTTTGCCCCAAGGAAGCAGAGAATTGAAACGTGGACCCAATTGAAATAAGATAAGAAAGGGAAAGGAAGGTGCTGGAGGTCGTTGAAGAAATACTTGAACCACGGAGCTCCATGCTTGAATCTACTACAAAGAACAATCGAAGAGAAAATGCCACTGAGCATTTGAGAAGCATCTTTTCTTTACCACTGATAATCAGTCTTCCCAAATTGACCTCAGAGCCCGGATCTCACTCTCTCTGCTCCTGTGCTCAGCGGAATAAAATGGGAAACCTGCAATGAATCATTCCAGTAAAAAGAGAAATCCAGAGTTCCCATGAAGTTTGGTAGCCGAACATTTGAATTCTGGTTTATGTGCCAGAATGTCAGCTCCCCAAGAGCATTCAGGCAACTTTCAAAGAGATCCTAAAGTAAATTGAAACCCAGCCTGGAATTAAAGAGAAATGTTCGGACAGAGAGAACAATCAATCGGTGCAACAACTTGCCTTCAAAAGTTGTGGGTGCTCCATCGCTGGAGGTTTTAAGAAGAGATTGGACAACCATTTTACCAAATGGTAAATACCTCCTGCCATGAGCAAGGGGTTGGACTAGAACCGTGGTGGCGAATCTATGGCACGCATGCCACAGGTGGCATGCAGAGCCCTCTCTGTGGGCACGCGTGCCGTCACCCCAGTCCTAGGCCTTCAGCTGGATTTTATAAAACCTTTTCGCTTTAGGCCTCTGCCGCCGTGTGCAAAAAAAAAAGTTTCAAACAATCAGTCAATTTCAACTTCTCGCGGGGAAAAAAAAGATCTCGCAAAGTTGGAATTGATTGATTGAACATTTTAGTCCCACCCAGTCTACCGTTACCACTGCAGCCATGCCCACCCAATGGGCCACACCCAGCCAATGGGCCACACCCACCCGGCACTTGACGATACATAAGTGGGTTTTGGGTTGCAGTTTGAGCACTCGGTCTCTAAAAGGTTCGCCATCACTGGACTAGAAGATTTCAAAGGTTCCTTCCAACTTTTTTATTTTGTCTTCTGTCCTCTATTCTGTATTATGCAGAATCCAGAGTTAAAAGGTGATAATTGCTGGGCTTTCTCCATTGTCTCTAGCACTGGAAGGGCAGTTCCCAGTTGCAAAATATAAACCAGATGTGAACACGTGCATCACCCCAAAGCACTCCAGATTGTGTTCTGAAGGAGCTGTGGCATAACACCAGTTTTTCAGTGGTGTGATCCCTCCCTCCCTCCCCTCCAGGGTTAAAATAAGGGCTACTTTAAAATCTTATCAAATCCCAGATTTGCCCTGGGAAATGAGCTGAACAGTTTCAACTCCTGCCATTCGGGTGACATCATTGCTGCAACCCTCAGAAGGAAAAAAATGAAGAACAAAACCCTCCAAACCACAAAATGATTGCCTGCCTCTGATGTAGACCTTGGCCAGCTGCTGAACTAATCCTCTGCCAGTTCTGATTGACAGGAAGAAGGCTCCTTGGAGCTGCTTAGCTCAGCAGTGTTTCTCATTGACAGATAGCGGCCTAAACAGCTCCTGGCAGTTTGCTGCAGGCCACTGTGAGAGACGCTGGCAAGCTGGCGAGGGGGCTGCAAGCCCTCCGCCTGGGCTCCGAAGCATGGTGACCTCAGCTGTCAATTCCATCTGATCTTCTGGGAGTTGAAGTCCACAAGTCTGGGAGTTGAAGTCCACAAGTCTTAAAGTGGCCACGTTTGAAGACCCCTGCTCTTAGGTTTGGGACCCAGGACCTGGGGTGGGGTGAGCTCCTGTCCTTCGCTCCAGCTCCTGCCAGGGATATGAAAGGAGTTCTCCTACTGGGCGTCCCCCATTCCCCATCAAGGGGATGGCTCTATCAAGCCTGGAGATGGCCTGTTGTTGTTGGGAGGCCTCTGAGTGTACAATTCTGCTCCTTCAGAATGGCAGGTGCTCATCACACAAGTAGTGAATTTGTGTCAGGGGCCATGTGAGAAGTCCAAAGGCTGTGGCAACACTAAAGAAGGATGATGTATCTTAATGGGGAAGGTTGCCTGCCTTGTGTTTTGCAAGGAGAAAGGCTGAATTTGAGATTCAGACCTTGTAAATGCATAATGCAGTGTTTCTCAACCTTGGAAACTAGCTGGGGAATTCTGGGAATTGAAGTCCATACATCTTAAATTTGCTAAGGTTGAAAAACCACAAGTATAGTGTATATACTCACATATCCATCTCAGTTTCTTGTCCACAATGCTGAACTGACTGACAGTGGTTATTTACCAGAATGCTTTTTGAATCTCAGTTGAGTTTTCAAGTCTTGCAATTCATTGGAAGCTACCCATCCAAGCACTGACCTGGCTTGACCCTATTTAGCTTCCAAGCCCAAATTAGGTCAGGCAGATGTTCTCACCTGCTGCCATCAAAAAATAAACTCAGCACATGAGTTCATATGCCAAGCTGATCTTCAGAAGCCAACCAACATTAACACTAGCCTAGTTTAGACATTAAGCAAAAGTGCCTGTCATGGTCTTACTTGTTATACTGTGTAAATCTAGCTAGAGAGGGACATGTCTGGTCAGTACAATTTACAAAAGATGCTGAGAC